TAACATAGGGAATTCAGAAGTGCTTGTATCCCAAAAGAATGTGATCATAATCAAATACATATGAACTTTTTAGGAAAAGTAACCACTTGCGTACATTGTGTTTATCTATATAGGCAAACCATCCTTAACTTTTTTTTACTGCTTTTCAAAAAAATATAAAATACAAAGAAATTGTAAAAAAAAGTTCAGGGGAAGGGAAAAGGAACAAGGAAAATAGCAAAATTGAGAATGCAATTAAAAAAAAAGGAATGAGCTATGAAAGAAAATAACTTCTGCTCTCTTTGGTGCAAATACAGATATAAAACAGAATATCCTTTTGAACTAAGTTAAATCATTAACATATCATAATTTTATAATCAATAAACAAATATAAACCATACTCAATGAGCAGTCCTCATTGGCACTACATCCACATGGAGAGAAGTAATCAGTGGGGTACCATAAGACTCCATCTTAAGCCCAGTACTCTTCAATATCTTCATAAATGACTTAGATGAGAGAATTGAAGGAGAACTCATCAAATTTGCAGATGACACTAAACTGACAGGAGTAGCCAACACCCCGGAAGACAAACTCAGGATCCAAAAAGATCTAGACAAACAATGGGCCCTATCTAACAAAATGAGTTTCAATGTGGAGAAAAGCAAAGTTTTACATTTAGGCAGGAAAAATCAAAGGTACAAGTACAGATTGGGCGAGACCTGGCTTAAAAACAGTAACTGTGAGAGGGACTTTGGACTCCTAGTGGACGATCACTTGACTATGATCTAGGAGTGTGCAGCAGCAACCAAAAAAGATTATACAATCCTGGGTTGTATAAACAGAGGCATAGAATCAAGATCACACGAAGTAGTAGTACTGTTTTATAAAACCATACCTGGAATACTGCAGTCAATTTTGGTCACCATATCACAAAAAAAGATGTTGAGAGTTTGGAAAAAATTCAGAGAAGAGCAACTAAGATGATCAAAGGCCTGGAGACTAAAACATACAAAGAACCCCTGTGGGACTTGGATTTGGCTAGTCTAAAGAAAAGAAGAAATAGGGGAGACGTGATAGCAGTATTCCAGTATCTGAGGGGCTATCACAAGGAAGAGGGGGCCACGTTGTTCACAAGAGCACCAGAGGGAAGGACAAGAAACAATGGTTGAAACTGATCAATCTCTCTTCGTTGGACCATAATTCCTCTTTGAAAGACTGTCACTCCTGTTAGTTGGTCACCTTGTCGAACGGAGGTCTTTAACACCCGCGAGGTAGTGACCTCTAAAAATTCTTCTCTGATCTGTTAGTGGACAGACTCTACCATATCCAAGAGGACGAACTCGTCCCCCGACCTGATCTTTTGGAGGTTTCAGGGAAGTATTCTATTCTATTCTATTCTATTCTATTCTATTCTATTCTATTCTATTCTATTCTATTCTATTCTATTCTAAACCTAAGTTAAAATTTCATTTCTTTCTATTTCACACAAAAAGTCCAGGACTGGTTTCCAAGTAGAGATGAAGCTAGACAAAGTCTTTTCTCCAATCAAAGCATCAGTTTCACCATCTCCATCAAACCCATTAGTTCCACTGTCCATTCTTACATTGAGGATACTTGTAAGTCTTTCTATCACAAAGGCTCTTTGCTACTGTTAACATGTATAAAAACAAAGTTCTTTTTTTAAAAAAAATCTGTTTATCCATCTATTCTAAATGAAAAGCCTCTGGCTTCATTTATGCATTCAATTAAAAAAATTATCTGAATTAAAATACATCTAAATTATCTGAATTAAAATGCACATCTATTCCGATAATTCATAGTTTTCTTAATGTCCACCAAAAAGGATTAAAGGTATTGTTTACATTTCTAATATACATTTGGCACACTCTTATACATCTTAGATAATTTATTAGGTGTTGGTTAGGTGTTATCATTAAGTACCAATGATATATTATCTAATAAAAACTATATTTTCAATCAATAAATTTGAAATCAATAATTTTTATTTTTATCCTTTATTACACATATTCTCCCATTAATCCAACGTTGTATTCGAACCAAAACTTTTTGCTCATTTAATCATACAATCTTTGATATACTCATCTTCAGTATTCATTTTCAACAGCAATTTGTACATCTTATCAATCACATGTTCATCATTAGTTCCTAACTCCAACTCAAAGTCAGTTTTCTCATTGGTAAACACATAACTCCTTATTCACTTTAAATCTTCTGTTAACTGGACATAAGCCAGCCATTAGCAAATATAGCCAAGGCAGACCATTCTCTTTAAAGGAGTTCATGCAATCTAGTGCAATCATTTTTCCAGATTCATTGACCCTTCAGAAATGGTTTTCTCCATTAGTACACCTATCCTACTGGTAAAAAAAAGGCTAGGATCATTACAGGAACGGCAGAAAAAAAGTGACTGTAATGTATGCTGTTTGAGTTACTTGATGAGGGTCAGTAACATTTCTGCTTGTCCCTATTTCTGCAACAAAACCAGGGCAGTTAATAACTAAATAAAGCCAATTTCTATATCACAAGCTGTGACTAAGATCCTGGTTACATAGAATTGTGAAATGCCACATATTGAAAATAAAATTATGATCTATATAAAAATAGGTATTTTTAGAAAATAAGGAAGATAGATTATTTGCTTCCTGGGTGTTATCAATCTTACAGGAGCAAAATCAAATAATAAACTTAAATGCAAACTTACTTTTGTATTGGGCAATGATGACCAAGAAATGGACTAAAGACAAGCCAACCAGAACGAACAAGCCATTGATGCTTCTTTTGTGCCCCTTGTCCATATTTTGTGCCCCTTGTCCGTATATTTATCAAAACAGAGCATTTAAAGTAGCAGTAATTGTGAAGATCTATCCAGAATATTCAATCATTTCCAAATCAATTGAAATTTAATTGCAAACTAATTTTAAACAGAGAGGTAAAATCTTCTTTAAGTTGCCACATTCCTAATGATTTTACCAATACGTCTGTGAAATCTGTAACAGCAATACAGTGGGGTCAACATTAACAACAGTTTATGAAAGACATTGAATAGGTGGCTTTATAATCCAACCACTTAGGGATAAAATGTTTTAATATGTTGCTACTTTTGTTGCCTAGCTGAAAGGGAAAACTTGATGAAATTTGTAAATCAACTAAGGGAGCGACACCAAACCCTAATATTTACTATGGGAATTGTGAACAATAGTAATTTGCTCTTTTGGAAAATTCTGGTGAAATGTTATAAGCTTCCTATAGTCCAAGAAAGTGGTTAGCAGTTTGTAAAATATTATTAGCTCAGGACATTTGTACATTCTGTCAGGAAAATGGTTAACCATCTAGCCCAGAGGTTCCCAACCTTTTGGGCACCGGGGACTGGTTCTGTGGAGAGAGGTTTTTCTGTGGACTGGAGGAGGCGTGGTTTCATGTATTGGCTGCATCCTGCGGATGGGGCTTTGCTAGTTTGCAAAGTTTCTGGCATGCTGCAGCCCGGTGCTGGTCCACGGACCCGGGGGTTGGAGATCCCTGACCTAGCCTATCCATCATATGAGTGTTAGCAAAAGAATTACGAAATCCAACCCCCAGTGAACTTAAAGAGATAAAGTGGGTGATAAAATGGAGGTAGCCAGTTGTTGATATTTGTGTAACCTAATCTGTTTCCTTTTTCAATAAATCTGCTTAAAGAAGATTTTGAGAGAATCCTGCTTTCTGTTGCCAAGAGATAATGATGTAAATCTAAACTACAAAGTCTATAGAAAAAGAAACAAACACAGACTGCTAACTCAATACTGCAAAATACCAGGACCCTAAACAAAAGATCAGTTAATAGGTCACTGATAAGGGGAGCTAACAAAATAAGTGATGCCACTAGCAAACCAAAGGAAATTTAAAGCTCTTCTAAATAATGGGTACACTATGCAAGCTAAAACTAAAGCAACAGAAATATCAAAATAAACCCCAAACAGGATTATGAACAGCATGCAAGAAAGTGCTAGATAAAAGAGATAAAAGATCAGGGATGATAGAACCGTTGCCCTTTAATATAGATGAATTCCCCAAAGTAAGAAACAGGGAAGAGTAAAAAATTAATAGCTATACAAAGACAGTTACATTGGATAACAGACTATTTTACAGTTAAAGGACATGAAAAGAACATTTAGCTTAAAAAACATAGGACAGTTAATATTGTCTAAAACCAGTCGGAATGCCCAAAAAATAGGCTTAGATATGTCAATTTCGTGATACAATGGAACATATATTTCCTCTGAACGATTAGAGGAAAAAATAGAAATATATATTCATCCAAATAATTTATCAAGGAAAAAGGATGATCAGTTGACATCTAAATGGCAGGTAGAATTTGGTGCAGTCATTTTGTTCCATGATACCTAGGTTATATGAAAATAACTGATTCATGACTTTAAGTTAAATTTAATATGATTAAGAATCTTAGATTTAAGATTTCTGCTTTCAATATGTTACTTAAAAAAATCCTGAATTAAAGTTGCAAATGAAAATATTGTCATTTTTTCATAACTCTTTCATAAAATCTCCATAAGATTTTTCTCTTCCTCCCACTGATCTAAAATAGGATATGCATAAAAAAAATAGTTTTTAGATATTCTGGAACTTGCATATATTTTGAGAAAAAAATGCAAAATTTAGGTAAAAAGCACCAAATATGACTTTATCTTTTACAAAGCAGTTTATTAGGCTTCAAGTACATGATAATATTAGAGCACTTGTTTACAGTCTATATAGTAAAGAATTATAGAAATACAAAACCAACATTGTATGGGGCAGAAGGGACCCAACATTTTATATGTCGTATACATTTAATCAAGACAGTCAAAATGTTTAATATAAGACAATACTCAAACTCCTTTTATAATAGTTCAGTCAATATAGAGAAAGTAAAGATCGAATATAAAATTACCGACCTATAGAACGTAGAGCCATGGTGTAAATCCTGTCCATTTCATATATAGACTATTCTTCGTTGAAAATTACGTTAAGTAACAAAAAACATGTGAGCAGCCAATAGTATGAGGCATAGTAGGCCATTCCCCACACACAGAACATTCCTTATGACTTATTTCTGATGTATTTTCATTATTGAAGTTTTTCCTAACAGGTAAAGACCAAGAAGAAATCTTGAGTTTGAGTTTCTGCATGTTAATAAGTGGCAAAAGGAACACCAGAAATTCAGCAAATCCATGCCACAAGAGTTCTCGGTTCATGAATTCAAACGCAATGGGACGGATACCTTGTGGCTGGCAGAACACTGATCTGATTCCTAAAATACGTTCGGTAAGTGTAGCAAATTTTCCCTTCTGAAGAAAAGTTAGAAAGTTTAGCAACTCACAGAGTCTGAGAAGCCTGACTATTAAGTTAATAAAATATTTTGTCCTTTGGAATGAGTCCAATGGACGTTTGCTAAATAAATCATAACACCTTTCTTCCAGCCATTTCCCACCAACAGTACAAATAAGATACCATAATTTCTGTTGTTTGCTCAATGTCTGATATTTCTGTATCTGGGATAAATCATTTGTGTATTGAATATTCAGTAGAGCCTGCCCTACTGTTGCATTCTTGGAACAGATGGTGAATCTCCACAAAAAAATCCACAGAGATGCTTTAATTTCTGGTTCAAAGCGAGCCAAGAGTCCAGGTTTAAATCCATTAAAACAGCAAGTGAACTGGGACCAAACTAGCTGTTCCAAGGCTTTGTTCAGTTCAAGTGCATCCAGCTGACTAATTCTGAGAACAGGAATCATTTTGTTGACATTGCTGTCTGATGCCATGGTCAACACGGAGCCCTCTATAACAAAAAATAAATTCATCAACATATTTTCTATTACATTTTGTTGTCCTTTATAAATTTATTCTTTTCATTTTGATAACAGTTTCATGAGTTAAACCAATCAAGAGCAACTTGAGCTATAAAATGTAACTATCCCAATTTCACTGAATGGAAAGCAAATATTTTAAATCTGAATCTTCAGTTGTCATGTCAGGTATTAAAATTGAAATAGTCAACATTATGTCCACTCAGGTTAATTCCTTTGATGGTGGTTTTTCACCAGCACATACAAGTGCACACATACTGATTTTCACACGAATCAGGATCCTGACAACACATATTACTGCACAGTACATACACTGGCTTCTATTTTATAATGCAAATATTCAGATTTAAAACAAATTTAGTAATCAGGGCAAGCTTCCCTGAGGGATAGCATGTTCTTACTTACCATTCCTCCATTCCATATATTTGAGGTCAGAGGTCCATAACATTTTTTAAGACCAAAGGCTGAGTGTGGCCTTTGAGAGATATGCTGAAGGCTATACTCTCCAAAATGGTAAAAAATTAAATTTTATTTCATTCCATTTATATCTAAATTTAAATAAAATTAAATATAGTTAATATAATTGCCCTCTAGACAGGTATTTAATCATTTCTTCCTTCTGTAAATTAATTACAATTTGGTATCAACTTAAAAATCTCTGAAATGTCATTCAAAGCTTTTAGGGGTTAGATTTGGTCCTAAAATCTATATTTCAAGTGCACCTTTAATTCATGTGATTGAATAGTAATATACAACCAGGTTTGGCACTATCCATTTTTATACGTTTAGATTTAGGTCCATGTGTCGTTATATTAACATAGTTAAACCAGAAGGTGCTTCTTAGCATTTTTATTCATGCCTTTCCATTTATTTGAGTCTAGGTTTTTAATATTTTGTTAGCTGGCTGAAGGACCAACGAGATACAAAATTGAGTTAGAAATCTAATAAATAGCCATTGTGTTAGGATACAGCTAATCACACCCCTTCTTTTCACTTTCCATCCCCATGGGCTGCTCCAGAATTTCTACCATAAACGTCAACTGCAAGGACTGCAACATTAGTGAACTAGTAATTGTCTGAATTTTCTCCTACTCTCTTTGCCCTTGTGTCTATCTGAGCACAGGAAGTGCCATGTTTTAATTGACCTGCAAATCATTCCAAATGAAAAGACATAAACAACATTACTGGTCTATACATTCTCATTTTTTAATTTCATTACATTTAAGAGACTTTAGATTGTTTAAATCCCTTTTAAAATGCTAGTTCATTGTGCTTTAGACTTCCATGATATTGAAGTTCAGATTCCTTAAGAAGTGCTTCCTTTTGATTTAAGGTTAAAACTTGGCATTCTAGAGCTACCTCTTGGCTTTTAATGGCCAGATAGATCTCACTAATATTGTACCTACCTTACTATCTTTACTGTATATAGGCTTACTTTGTGGAGTGATGAAGTGATGGAGCTATGGAGTGATGAAAATGTATCCTTTTGATCAATCCTTATATTTACAACCTTCACAGATTTTTAAAACAAAGGAAATCTTTGAAATAAGATAATAGAGTTGCAGTTTCACTTAGTGGCCACTCTGCTTAACGACCAAATTGCTGGTCCCAACTGTAGTTGCTAAACGAGAGAATACCAGTACTGCTACTTGTACTGTAGCTTCTATGGTCCTCCTGCTTAATATACCCTAAGATGTGTTTACATGGTCAGCATTGTACTTGAGTAGATTTTCTCACTTCCAGTCTTGAACAGATGGCTACTATCTTAAATGCCTCCAAATGCAGCATGAGCGTAGATTTTCACTCAAATTTGCATTTGCATTTTCTGTGAAATGTTGTCATATTACCTGCCAGACAGTTATGAGGTTATATAGTGATTTTCTTCTTCAGAATGTATTAAATATGTAGCCAGAGAGTTTCCAGGCTATGCAGCCCTACCTAGGTCATAACTTTACACAAGTTGTGCCTGACATCTTCACTACTCTATTAATTACCTGGTGTTTTGTACTTAATTTGTTTAAAAATACTAATATTACTAGTATTTTTATTTTTACCAAGGTTCTTATCGACCTATAACACATTCTAAGACAACAAATTGTTGAGTATCATTAATTAAATAGGTATATTTTTCTGATATGTGTTAACATTACTTACTGTGTAATATACAAATTATGAATGAATGTATTTTATTTAGAAATGCATTATTGACAGAAATCTATCAATACTAAAGTGGGTATTGTCAAGGGCCTGTCAATATTAATGTAATTATGATTAAGGGGATAACATGGATTTTAGCTTTAATACCAAATAACATCTCCTACATTGCTGCTATCAATATAAGCATTATTATTGACCTGTTCTGAGGCCCAGAACTAGATGTATTTCCATTAACCATATCTGTCAATGCATCCTGCCTACAAAAATTCTACATTTAAATTTACAGGCCTGTAAACTTTGGCAGCAGAAACATATAAGTTCAAGCAATCTCCAGTGTCATTCCTCCCACCCTCTCCCAGCAATTCTGCTGTAATAAACTAATTTATGCCAATCCAATGACATTGCCATCTCACGCCTACTCTTTTAAAGGATAATTAGCAGAAAACAAACAACGTTTTCATACCAAAGGGGCACACAGTCCAATGCCTACGTAGGCAAGCCTTAAAGATCTTCAGAATGCAAAACTTAAACAATAACATACCAAGCTGTCCTTCTCGGTGTTCTAAATTTGAATACTGAAATATTCTAATTGTGTTTGTGATGCATAGGGCAGTTTATAAATTAATGTCTACACCAGTGAATTCAAATATATTTTCCAAGAGTTTTAGTTCCAAAGATCACTTATATCAATCAGATAGTATTGAAATATGCAGCCAATATTCATCACAGAATAAAATGTGTCTCCAGCTGCCAATCAGTGTCACATCGCATTGGTAGCACTGTCTTACAGAAATGTACTATTGGGTCTGGGTACCAAAATCTGGAAGGATTAGGAATATTATTTTCATTTACATAGATCATGATCTATTCCCAGGTCACCTTAGTTTATGAGAGCATGACAGCAATTGCAGATTTTTTTAAAGCTCTTTCTAGTGTAATTAGCATAAACATTAGATACGGAATTTTAAAGGGAAACTCAGATTATGTGATCCATTCACTTGGATGCCATCTAGTCCCCATCCCTATGTCAATAAAATGGGAAGAAGGAGTTAAAAGAATTCCTATTAAATAAAATTGCACACACACTGGAGTGGAGAACCAGAGGCTACTGTGCTATAACTTCCAATATCCCTCATGCTGGGAGTGCTGGGCATTTTAATCCAACAATATCTGCATAGTGAGAGTTTCTCATCCCTAACACAATGAATGCACAGGGACAAAGGGAATATATATGTAGTAAATATTATTTATAAATATATTTTCTTAGAGAATGAGCTATTAATTTTTAAATATTTCTGTCTCAATTTTTTTTAATTTTCCCGAGGAATTCAGATTATTCTTTTCAAATTCAGATGCTAGTTAAGAATGATCAAAAACACACATGCTAGTTAAGAATGATACAAAAACACACACCTTATCTGTCTGTCTATCACACACTATATGGGTTGATTGTAGGTTATCTCAGTTCTATGGATTTTCAAGTCAATTCCATCATAAACAACCTTCTTAAAGACCTCTGAGAACTGAAGCTGGCAAGATGGAAAACTAGAAGGCTCAGACATAGGCATTACTGCAGGTGTCGTTTACTTCCCAGTCTGGAAGCAGAGTAGCAAAAAGTCAATTTCTATGAAAAAGCAGGAGAAAAATTTTTAGGATTTAAACTCTGAGGCTCATACGTGTTACACACACACAGAGGCAAGCATGCACAGGCATATATTCACATGGTTGGATTCTTGGTTTCCCTAGCTGCTGATATTCTGCATAAATATGGTTTCCTCCATTTTCAATTTTAGTTTATATTTAATGCTTAATTAAACTACATAGAGTTCTTGAGAGTTGTGCTGTTAAGCTAACTACTGAATGCAGGGAATTGACTAGTGAAGAATAGTGAAGAAATCTGTGCCTGCATATAGTATGACAAGACTGTCCTTTGTATGCACTTTTATACATTCAAGAAAGATAGGTAGGTTGCTTCAACAAAAGCCTCACCAGAATTACATATTATCTCTTCATCACTATAAAATTAGTTTGTCATTATTATGTCATAGCTTAAATAACCTTCAAAAAGATTAATTTCATATTATATTTTGAATTTCTATATGCTTCAGTTAAATGCTTTCTAATGCTTTTAAATGCTTTTCTATACTTTTGAAAGTATACTACAGACCTAGATTTGCTAACCGCTCTGCACAGATACCTAATATTTAATAAACTTTAGTAACTTGAACGTTATTTGCACATTACTTGAATTTCTGAAAATATTTTTAAATGATTATTTTTA